AAAAGCACAGTGATTGCCTGAAGGAGTGTAAGATAATTTTTTTATCACAATGTAAACTAATACTTAGGTACCTATAGCAAATTAAATTACTCATCTTTTACTGACTGAATTTAAAGATTTTAATAATTTTATAAGCATTATAAAAGCTATGATCAACGACAACCATTTCGTTTGGTTAAAAAATGACAGAAGTAATATTGAGGATAAGTCTACTTTTATTCGAAGTGACCTAAAGTATAATGTTTTTTTGGCGTAAATACATTTATTTGTAAAATTCTCAGTTTTTTTTAACAATACTTATACAGGGTGATTCACAACTTATCCAAAAAAATTTGGGAATAGATGCGGCATGAGAAATCTTAAAAAAGAATTTTCGTAAAATTCTTATAATCTCGGAAAATTATTGAAGTACATTCAATCATTACATAGCTGGACAACCGTAGTCTCTAGCGTCATTCGCAATACGCGTGGAGCGTGTTTACTATAATTTTTTAGTAGTTAGTGTCAAAAATGGCTTGCGTGTATAACAACTCGGAGTTGATGGATAAGTTCTGAATCACCCTGTGTAGACTGTTATAGGAGATTTTTTATTTTTAAATTCATTTAGTTAAAGATCTACCTACGCAATTCTGTTTAGTGACTGCTAAGTTTACTTTTCAATTGAGTGAAATTATACTATATAACAAAACATGTTCATGCTCAAATAACACTTGCAAACTTCAGAAAAACCATTATGCCAAAAAATTTAAAAGTAATATTGACCTGATGTGAAAACCTGATAATCTATTCTTAATTATTATTTTTTAATCATATTTTATTAGTTTTTGTATTTTTTTTCTATATTATAAACGTATTAACCTAATTCAAAGAAATAGAAAACAATTTGTTTCTAAATGATTTTATCAAATGAAGATAAGTTAATTAATTATTATTAATATTATTATTAATCTGAAATTGACTCAAAATCCGGAGAAATATATTTTTTTATACTTTAATAAAATGGAAGTTTTAATGTATTAACTAACCTAATTTAATAAGTTATATTACACAGGGTGAGCCGGGAGAATTCCAGGAATGGATTGTAGACGTTAAAACAATAAGAAAAGCTCAAATGTTATTTGATTTTCATTTGTTTTCAAACTATGACGTACATTTTAATAAAATAGTATTAATTTATTGATAACCTATTACTCATAGCGTTCTTTGATGAAAGTTCAAAAACACCACCATTGACCTCTAAAACACTTTTCGCTTCATCTACGAAGGGCACTGGTAGCTCTCCTGATTGCTGCATGTCCATCTAGTGTTGTGAGGTCTGGAACATGTAAGATCTCTACTTCCGGGTGCCGATGAATTTAAGTTTGTGGTGGTGTATTGTCGGTATATTAAGCAATTGAGAAATAAATGAAACTACTAAACTTCAACAGGCGATTTCTCAAAGACGAAAAATGATATCGGGATAAATCAAAGTACGTTTTAAAATGTAAGTATAGCACATTAAGGCCCCATTAATGGTTTTAGCAAAAATAATTCATATCCATGTAACATATCCTCAAATATGCCAAAGAAATCCGAAATCCTTCGGAAAAGTATAGAGGTCGGCCAAATTTTGCCGGCCAGTTATTGATCCATCGATAAAACTCGATACGCTTAGCATAATCTTCCGGTTGTAGGTGTTGTACTCTCTGTACGATGAGCTCGTTGTCGATGAGCTCGTTGAGATGTTATTTATTCATTTATTTATTTATTTATTTTCCCAACAGGCATGAATACCTAATTACAGGGAAAAATTACTACACTCAATTTTACAATATGTGACTACCTAAAGCAAGCACGCTAACAAAGGGTAATATCCTAAATACATAGCAGCACTATATCAGAAGGGGAACAACATCCACATTACGATTTTAGAACAATAAGACATATAAAAATAATGATTATGGTAAATTGTTTATAGAAAAAAATTGTTTAATTTCTTTTAAGAATACTCTTTGGGGTGAAAACAGGTCAATGGATTTGCTTGATAAAACTTGATCAATTAATTTAAACATAACTGCAAGAGGAGAACATGATGTCTTGCGTAACGTCTTGCGTATGCAGAAATTGGTTTTCACGGGTGTCTTTGGAAGGAACATTGATAAGTATACGGGAGAGCAGATTTGGTGCATTAATGAGACTGTTTAAAATGTTGTAACCAAATAGCAGAATAGAAATGATACGACGGTGATGAAGTGTATTTATATTAAATTATCGGCAAAGTAGATTAGTTCTTACAGTCATATAGTCAGGCGGTCTATTATACTTCGTAAAATATAGATATCTCAAAAATTTCTTTTGTATTTTTTCAACCCGCTCTGTATATTTTTTTGGCTGCGCGTGCCATAACAATGACCCATATTCAAGTTTTGGCCTAACAAGTGTGCAATATAAAGTAATAAGGGTTCGTATATTCTTCAGATTACGCGATTCCCTCATAACAAAAACAAGAGCTTTATAAGCATCAGATATAAATTTGTCAAAATTAAGTTTATATGACATTGTACTATCTATCGTAACGCCCAGATCTTTAACATTATGAACCTTAACTAAATGAGCATTATCCAACTTATATGCGTAAGTAACAACATCCTTTTTGCGAGTAAAGAAAATATTGCACTTTTTAATATTGAAATGAAGCTTATTTTCTTTACTCCAACGCAATACAGAATCAACGTCCAGCTGGAGCAAAGCACATTTACATCTTTAATTTGTCTATAAAACTTGAAATCGTCGGCGAACAACAAGCATTCAGAATGATGAAGACTTTGGGGTAAATCATTAATAAAATACAAGAAGAAGAGTGGGCCCAAGTTAGAACCCTGCGAAACCCCTGAATTTGCTACATAAACTTTTGAAAACATTCCGTGATATTTGACTTTAAATGTGCGGTTTTGCAAATAAGGAACAATTAATTTAATTATGCTGTCATTCACTCCGTACATATCCATTTTTTTTAAAAGCACATCATGATCTACCTTGTCAAATGCCTTTTGAAAATCTGTAAAAATCGCATCCACCTGACATCCGTTCGCAAATGAACTGAGTATATCATCGGTATATATAGTCAAATTAGTTGATATTGATCTCTTAGGCATAAATCCATGTTGACAGTCTTTGACTAGTGTGCTAAAATGACTCCATAAGTTACGGTACAATATTTGTTCAAACACTTTTGCAGGCGCCGATAATTCTGCAATAGGTCTATAATTATTTACATTAGATTTTTGTCCCGATTTATAATTTGGACTGACTAGTGAAATTTTCCAACAGTCAGGAAATTTATTAGTCTTCAAAATTAAGTTGTAAATATGCAGAAGGGGTTCCCTGAAATAATCAGAACAACTCTTTAAAACATACGGTGGTACCCCGTCCGCACCTACAGCTCGCTTAGGTTTGAGTTTTTTAATTGACGTATCATAGTCAAAATTGGTTATATCCTTCAACTGTGCCATCTGATAATTTCCAGGTGTTGTATCTTTTAAATTATAGACGGCCGGTGAAACAGAGTATACTGAATAAAAATATTTGGCAAATGTTTCGGGAACTTCATTTTCTGATATAATAACGTTGTCACTGTCTCGAAAGGATACAGAGGCATATGGTTATACTAGGCTTTCCGGTTTCGCACAGTTTGTTGAAAACTCTGATAAATTCATTTTTATCAGGACATCTGTGATGTGAAAACCGTTGACGATATTCTTTAACAGCAGCATTAGCATTCCCATTACAAAAACCATAAACAAACGTCATATTTCCATATTTTAAATTTGAATAAATTCTTGGCATTTGTATCACTTTGATCGTACGTTTGAACTTCCAACAGGACATACTTACTTTGTTTTCAAATTTTGAAAATGTGTAATTAGGCTATATCTTGAAACAAGAAAAAATCGCCTAACAACATCTGAGTTTTTCTTATTATTTTGATGTGTAGAATCCATTCCTGCAGTTTGGTGCGATTTTCCCGACTGTATACTTTAAAGATACTTTAATCTTAGTCTTTACATTATATACTTTCGTTATTTTTAGACTCACAATCTTGTATTAGTGAAAATCTTTTGAAATGAGATGGCAACTGAAAATTATATTAATTGTGTAAATATCAATAAATGACATCGAATTATTTAGCTGCGATATGATAGTTTAGAAAAATATTAGATGTGCTTCTTTTAACGGGTATACTCGTATTTTATATGAGTTAAAAATAAAATTAATGTTTATTTTGTACGACTGGTAAACGTGATATATGTAGATTAATATATTTTTTGGATCCTTAACAATATGTAGGTATTTTTAAAATTATTACACCGACCAATTGTCGCAATTAGCCTTGACGTTGAATTATGTAGTGAAAATGAAGTCGGTAAATCATTGGAAAATTACGGAAATATAATTATAACAACATGTAACAGTTTCATGAAGAGTGTATATTAAATCATATTAAATAAATCTGCTGTGAAAATAATGAGCACTCCCTAACTTTAATTTGACCATCGTTGCAGAATCTACGTGATAGTTGTTCGAATATTATTTTAAAGACAGAGTTCTGGAAAAACTCTTTCAATGTAGTTACATAAAAAGGTTCGCTTGCGAGAATCGTTAAAATGAAAATGGGAAAATATCATTTCCCGCCTTTGCGAATTACCCCTTCAACACTGTAACAGCTTCCAGAACGCCATCAAATAAATTATTATTACTTTGGCTTAGTTTGCAGAAAACAGATGCACTGTCTGCATAACATGCAAACAATGTTAAGCAAGTACTTTTCAAAATACAGCACGCAAAGTTAAATCAACATCAATCTCAATAATATGAAAGGTACGGGAAGGGAAGACGGATAGCTGAAAGATGCTAGTGTTGACCTTCCTGTTTTTTGCTTTGGACTGATAAGGACCAATACTTCCGAAATTGCAGTTTTTAGAGAATCACTTGAGGAACAGTTACGTCCGTAATGACCTTAGACCCAACCAAGATGAACATCAAGGCCGATTTAGGGGTTCTAATAATTGGTCCGCCTCCACAGAGTCTAGCCCGAGAACAACCGAGGCAAGTCAAAGATTCCTAGCTAAGGCTAAGGAAGTGTACTCGAAAGGCACTAAGTACAGCGTAGGAATCTTTCATATAGTGGGACTTTATCATATAACATAGTGGTATACAATATGATTAGGTTAAAATAGATAATATAGTTACATACAGGTCAGATAAAACGTTCGTATAATGTTATTGGATTTTGCTATTAACTGATGGGAAGAGAAATAAGAGACAAAGATAGAATTTGAATTTCAAAAGATGTATCTTATTGATTTTTTTTTAAGTGTCCCATAACCTACTAAATTTATACACAAAAATAATAGTTATCTGGGGGATCAGTGCAAGCAATGAAGCGAGTCTACGGTCAAAATCTATAGTGGATTGATAGGCTCACGCCGATAGTTTCTCACACTCCTAGAATGAGATCTTAGACCCAGTGTGTTTTTTTTTGTAGTTTTTTTTTGTAAATAAGACGTATGATTAATATTTATTATTATTTATGCCTCTTGTACAATTTATGCCAAAGAAGTATGTTCAAAATAAATGTTGTTAATGTTATATATAATATTTTATTTTATTGATGACATTAGGTAGAGTTCATGTTGTCCTTAGAAAGCACTAGCTATTTTTCTAAAATTTTAATGATGGGGATCACAATTTTATTAGAAATAAACGACGATTTACCATACTACAGTAATAAAGATAAGATTTAAAAACAACATTTTAAAGTAACAAACAAATGAGTGGTAAGTATCTGCAGTTGAAACGTCGGAAATTCTACGTTATGTTAATATCTATTACATTTACTGTGTTTATCTGTGATTGATACACTTTTCATTGTTTTGTTTTTTTTTTGTATAGCATAATGAACTTTATCTGAGAGGGTACATATTATCTCTTATTAATTTTGTATTCAGAATGTCTTAGTTTATTGCCGATTCACATCTCTAGAATGTATTTGATGAGCAGTAACCAACATCTCTGGAGAGTCACCTTAATTTGCATTTAAACAGATACCTTATACACAAGTGGGGCTGTTACAGTAAGTCTCAATTGATATCTCTCTTACCTTTGACGGTATATAAACTTTAAACTTACACGTTCAAATCTGTTTTCTTTATTATTGTCATTACAATAATCTTATTAATTGGGACTTACTCTACCATATTCTCCCATACATTCATAAAACCTATAAGTGAAATAAACATAAAACCATTTTAAACTGACTGTCTCCAAATACACTTTAAAAAATAATAAATTATGCGGTTATTGCTGAATATACCAAACAAGTGTCAAGAGACACAACACTTATAAATCTATTTTACAATTGTCTCTTTCTTTGTAGCCGTTTATAAAACAGTTTCATAAAACGTGCCCCAGCCTTTATAAAATAAATTAAAGTACATACTACATTGTTTTATAAATTTTCCTATTTGACGTTTGGAAATCATCTAGAATCCAACCAACAACCTCAACAACAAAACAATATTTTATAAACATTCTTTCAGCTTCTACGAGTATAACACATCAAATTGTTAGTTCGGATATTTAATTGAAAAGAAAATCAAAAATAAATACTTTATTCTGTATTCTACACACGTATATCAAAATAATACTTCCCAATATCATCCGTATTAGTTTAATGGTCGTATAAGCGCAGAGACAAGCGAATGCTGCAAACTTTACGCTTGATTTAGTAGACTGTCAACCTCAGTTCCTGATTAAGCTAATGTAGAAATTGAGCCACAATTTAAGATGGCCTACTCGTAAAATACAGTTGCGGTTTTCATACTGCAAACTCCAAGTGCAAATTTCGGGTAATATAGCGCTGTCCGGGAAGTTATTAATTTAACTGGTTTGTAAATCTAACACGACTTGGAACGAATCAACTAAGGACTGTGTGTGACTCTGACATTTATATTCTACAGACTCGCAGTAAAAATTGGGTAGAATGCATATGCGAGTGAAATGTAGGTAATAGAATAAAATGATTATAACTATTACAATAGCTTAAATTTTAATTTAAAAGGGCTATTAATAAAGTAATGAAAGTCAAGACTAAACATGGGCGCACTTAAGAAAAAAATTAATACTGGAAGAAAATACTGGAAACGTTAAATATACTTAATTTTATTATATCTCTCTGTATAGCAAAAGCTTTGTGATTAATCTAGATCTCAATATAAATGAAACAATAAAATTTTTAGGAGTGTAATAAATAACATTTTACGAAAATATACCGAACCTTTTTAGAAACGTGGCCATATTTGATCAACATGTTTTATTTGGTTTTAGTTTTATCAAACTACTAACTATTCTAAAATAATTTAATATTTTCCAATATACCTTTGCATCGTTTATTTTTATCTAAAAACACATTCGAAAAAATGGACCTTACGAAGGCTATAGTATTCGAATAAATGCGAATAACTCAAAGCAAACCCAAACTTAAAGTTTTAGTTTATGATTCTGACATCTATTGGCTTTATACTCAGAGTACTGATTGATGGCAGCTCGCAATTATAAATTTCAACTTTGTCCGTCTAGCTATGATGCTGAAAGTTTCTATTATAAAACTCATAAGCACATAAAATCAACTAGTTTGGACTTACCATTAATCATACTGCCACACAGCAAAACAGCCAGTTATAAAATATAGATATATTCTTTTCCTATGAATATACTCGTAACTTTAAGTTTCAACCACTGCTAAGAGACGTTTCGTATATTGTGTGGTCTTTTTTTTAAGAAAGGGTATCACCTAGTAGATATAGAGAAACTTTTGAAGTGTTAAAATATATGGTACAAGTTTAGGAGGTCGGTTTCCCCTATTATTTTCTGTATTCTTTATAAAAGTTGGTACAGAATGGAAACAAACAGTTTTAGACTACAATTAGGAATTAGAATTACTAAATTTTCAAAATACCCTGGCGTATTTCTAAAAATTCTTAGACAAAGTGCCTACATCTACATTAATGGTACATTATAGATACTTAAATATGTATATACCGGTTCAGTAGATTGGAGGACAAAAAAGGAATCAAAATCAAAAATTCTAATTGTTATATTTCCTTAACACGTTATTACTATTATCATTAAGAACGAAATATTTCTTGTTGAAGACGATGCTGAAAATGGGTAGAAACGTAGGTATCTCAAAATATGTTAAATTAATTGGTTTTCTTGAAAACATTGTCTTAAACTCACAAACCGAAGAAGTTTTCTAAGAATTTTTGAGGGAGGTTTCCGATTGAAAATACTTAATAATGTATGTATTCGTTGCCTTTTTTGAAAAACGAATATTTGCTGATTTTGATTGTCAGTGTTGCGGGAAACAACTACTCCACGGGCTATATACCCCGACCGGCATTGAATTATACTCGCAACACCTAGTGCAACAGCTAGAATCGTTTGTCAGTTTAAACCATCAGGCACAGACCGGTTTCTCATCAGTGTGTCATAGGTGAGACAACCGACGAACGATCCATTATTTTTAACTACGGAATCAGAGGAAGTGAGGTATATACTGATAATACCTGATGGTATTCCCTAGTGACCTTGATCTTGAGGTCACTAAAAAATTGTGAGTCCCTTCTATTACATCGTCGAAAATAAAAAATGAGAGCCGGAATAATCACTTCTGCCTGACCTCCTGAGCATTGACTTTAAAGTTATGTTTAAGATCATACCTAATAACATGTAGAATTCTACACTCTCTTATTTCTAGCGTCGAAATAAGGGATCACTACTCCAAAAATCGATAAGACCTTGACATGTTCTTTCAGCCTTGATCTCAAGATCAACGTCACTAAGGAGTACCATCAGGTAATAGTAGCCAAAGACTATTACTTCCCCTGATTCCGCAGTTAAAAATAACAAATTACAGTAAAAATCAACATTTCACGTTGACCATTGACCTTGACCATGGATTTTGACCATTGACCTTATCCATTGACCTTGACCATTGACCTTGAGGTCACGGTCAAGGTCATATTCGGATGTAGTATTTTCTGCTCTTTCCATTTCCGGGGTCGAAAGGGAGGACCGCCATTTAAAAAAACCGACTTGATCTTGATATGACCTCGAACCTTCACCTTGATCTCAAGGTCAAGGTTACCGTCGCATGCGTGGTGAAAAATGCTGAGACTTTTGTCCTCACTATTTATCCCAAAAATCCTTTCCCCCCGAGATTTTTGGGGGTTTCCATACTTCTGACTAACCCTGTATGCTAATACGCCCGTTGTGGATAATTTAAATTGTCAAATGCTTTAGGATATCAATTTATTTTCCACATTAAATTTACATATTATATCATTATCCACATTTGACTGACAAATATACCGCATCTACTATTTTCGTGTCACTATAGTGTGGTTTTTATTCTAAACCCATTTGTAACGCTTGATAAATGTATATAATATTTTATTGCAGAATTGTACCTAAATTATTAATGGTTAGCACTCTCAGTTTCAAATGAATATGATGTGGGAACCAAGTCAGTGTTATAATTTAGAGTATCTCCGTTCATGAAATATGAATTTTATGCAGGAAGTGTAACAGACACTCGGGTTTGATCATTAATTATAACTGGAAATGTGGTAAAAGCAGATATTAATTCTGTTCACTTGCAAGTAATATTAATTTGTTGGAGGAATTCGGTTAGATTTGAATCGATTTCTGAATATTCATTCACCACTGAATGGACTGATTCTTATACAGTATGTTCTAATATCAAAAATGCTTAAAAAAACACAAAATCGACAAATCAGCATTTAAAATCCAGATATAATTCAGCAGCGGCTGAAACTATTGGTCAAATCAATATATTCCCATGTATCTTGACCTATTGAACACGACTCCGGAGTCAGATTTGGCCCATACATGGAAATAACTTATTCTGGTTATTTGCACAAGACTTTCTTTTTTGTGGAGCTGTGTAATTAATAACAGTTGTTGCTTTCTAGGTTACCCAGAAAAATAGTTATAATGTAGGTAATTAGTTACATAAACTAAAACAGTTTGTGTAGATTTTTCTATGTATGTTTAACATTACCTTTATACTTGCGTAAACATTTCAACACATTTCCGTATATAAAATAAAATACGTTATTATTAAT